AAAGAGTACAGATTCAGGATGAACTAGCTCGGAAGGTTCAACCAGTCAGGGAATTTTGTGACAGTGGGAGCACATGTCATGCTTCAGTCTCAATCCGACAGTGGGTTAGGAAAACTAGTATTCCGGCGTCGAATGTTTCTCCTGTTAACAATTTGCTTGGTTTGGAGAATGTAGGTTCTCAGTTTGTCTTAGATGCCAGGAGAGTGATAGGTGTGTCACACTCGGAGCTAGCAGAGAAAGAGAACGAGTCACGGGTTGTGACTGATGAGTTGAAGCTCAGTGGGAGCTTCAACGGGCCTTTAGATAACTGAAGAGAAGGCCGCTGCAACTAGTGGAAAATGAGGATTACAAGAGTTACAGATGATGAAGACTAAGGGGCGTTGTTCGAGCCTCCAAGTGGGAGATTGTTGGGCGAATTGAGTGTGGAGGCTCGACCAGGAAGGGCAGCCGGCCCTAGTCTTGGTTCGACCCATATGGCAGTAAATTAGGTTTTTAATTTAGCCGGCCCTAATTCTCTATGTGGGCTTGGGCCTAACTTGGGGATTAAGTTTTCAACCCTAGTTTAGTCTTCATAAATAGGGATCTCTGTACTTGTAATTCTGTGAGCACCTGGATAATAAAAACCCTAGTTGCAAAGTGGATTAGGTCAGCCGACCGAACCACTATAAATCTTGTGTTCCGTTTTCTCCGTTTTGATTTCTGTTTTGTGTGTGTTCTTGTTTGGTTGTGGTTTGCTATTCAGTATTCATAGATACCCCAACAGGTTGCTATTATAGGGACCATTCTGTTTGCTGTGGTCTTTGCTCCTTATGTCATTCCATTGTTTCCATTCCATTTTCATTGTCCTGAACACACTTTAAGTCAGTCAAATACTTCTAAACATGATGGTTTTAATTTGGGAAGTTTTTTGATAACCTTATGTTTGAGGTATTTTCAAAATGACCCCTTGTAAAAGTTAAAATAACCATGGCATAGGCTAAGAGATTTGGAATTTTCCAGAAACAACTCTTACGTCTCTTAGGTTTGGATGGGCTAAAACATCCCTTCTCGACTAAAAATGCTGCTGTAGTATGCAGACCCAAGTTACATCACAAGACATGCCCATGCCATAAATATCACGCGCTTTTGGAGTTTGGATCTCTAGTTTTGTAATTAGGGTGCTTTAGTCTAGCTCATTTTTTTTTGAAAGTCTAGCTCAAGGTTATTTTGAGATATGCACACAGGAGGGTTTGCGTACATTTAACCCCTCATACCCTAATAGAGCTGTTGCCTATGCGAGGGTCATTTTTGATAAATACCTTAAACCCAAGGGGCGCCTCAAAATGTTCCCCTTTTTAATTTTAACATTCCACTGATGCCCTTAAGTTTGAGAAAAAAGACATACTGAATGTTTTAAAGGTTTTTTTATTTTAGTAAGAACCAATTTCTGGGAAGTGATTATTTGTAGTGTGAGAGTAAGAGACCATCATTACGCAAGTGTCTTGCACATAAAGCACATGCGGAAATGTTAGTGTTTTGGTAATTGATTTCTAACTTTTGCAACAAGTTGGGATGCACTTAATTTTATTGGTGTAATACTATAGATCTTTGGCTGCAAATTAGGTTCCCTTTCAACGCAGGATGCTAATGCTTAATTTGCTTTTATATTTGCAGGCAAGTCAACCATTCTTAGATTACTGTTCAGATTCTTCGAAACCCATTCTGGAAATGTGAGATGAGAAAAAATTATTCTGTACTGCATTTTCCCTTATATCATTCCTTTACATATTATATATGGATGAGTTATTGTGCTTATTACATGACATGGCAGATAAGGATAGACGGTCAAAATATCAGGGACGTAACTCTTGAGAGTCTTAGGAAATCTATAGGCGTTGTTCCACAGGACACTGTAAGTAATTGATCGAAAGCATGGATCTCTCTCTCTCTCAACACTCCTTCAAGCTTGAAACTCATGGTCAAAATAAACGATTTCTCTATTCAGGTCTTGTTTAATGATACTATCTTCCACAATATTCATTATGGTCGACTTTCAGCAACAGAGGAAGAGGTTGGTGGACAATATATTGTTGCCTTGCTATTTCAACCATCATTGTAATCATTTGCACCATGGTTGTTAAGCCGACAAGTCGAGTCGAGTCGGTCACGGGGAGACTAGTGGACTAGTCGACTAGTCGGCCTACTCGACAAATCACAATTAGTATTGAAACTTTTAAATATATATATCTTCATTCACTACAAATAACTATATATATTTATATGACAAAATATCATTACCAAAGCAAAATTATATAATAAGCACAAAAAGTAGTCAAAGAACATATTATTATCTAACTTCTTGATTTGAGTTATCAAATATCATCATCCAACGTTATGTCACAATTGATTTGTTTGTGGCATAATGTGCATTCTACAAGATTTTTGTTGTTCATATTTGGCCAAAACCCATATTTCCATATGGCATCATTAGAGCCGGTTTTTCGTTTGGGGTCCTTCGATGGATCCTCATAATCACGAACGTTATTATCTCCCATTTGTTCTGAAATAAGTATAATTTTTTATATAAGAGATGATACATATTAAATTAACTTCTTAAGTCAAAATACTAAAATAACAACACACAATTGTTGTTTGAAATCATAAAAAAATAAAAATTAAAAAACTGAATAAAATTAACAAAAAAAATGTTAATTGAAATCAGAAGAAAAAGAACTGAATAAATTTAAAAAATAAAGAATATAATATACTTGTTTAATAGTTTAATGAACCAAATTAAAGAAAATTAACCTAAATTTGAAGATTAAGTGATAAAAAATTATAAATATAAAATTTACCTAGGGAGAGACGCTACTTGGCTGACCTGAATCGTGCGATGAAGAGGAATACTGGGTTGGTCTCTTCTTCTCCGTCCGATCAAGATGCGATGAAGAGGAAGATAAAAAAATTGAATCCAGATCTGCTTCAAATTTTCAATCGATGAGGAGGGATAGACGTCGGTCGTGCGAGAGAATCGTTATTGGATTACGGAATTTATCCGGTAATATTTAATACAGCTTATTTAATGAAATTCGGATAAGTCATGGGTCGGGTTGGGATCGGGTTGGGCTCTTCTTCTCCGACTAGTCGCTACTAAACGACGACTAGGCCTCGCCATTCTCGGCCAGATGATTAGGCCACCCCAGTCGCTAGGCGCCCAGTTTTTCCCCTTCCCCAAACTGCCTGGACGACTAGTCCACGTCTAGTCGACGCCTAGGCGACGCCTTAACAACATTTTGCACTTTCCCATAGTAAATTTCCCATTATAAATAGACATGAAACGTAAGAAAATAAAAATGCGGTTGAGAAGTATTTAGAAAAACAAGAAACAGTGTCGTGTTTAGAAAAGCAAGAAACAGTGTTCTTTTTAGAAAAGCAATAACCTTTCTACAAGGAGGGGTAAGGTCTGCCTATGCACAAACACCCTCCCCTCTACTATTTGTGAGATTTTACTGGGTTTGTTGTTGTGTCAACCACACACAACCCGTTGGTAAAAGTTCACACATTGGCTTAGAATTAATAATGAGGTTGAGAAGGTGAGAGTTTGTTTAGGTATGATAGATTGCATTCAAGTGTTTGATTTGTATTGGAGAGTAAATTTAAGGTTTGGTTCTTCTCTCGTCCGATGATGGAGACATGGTTGCTTTAGGCGTATCAGCTTACGGTCCAGTCTTTGTCTTCTTATAGTTGCTAGTGTAGTCTTTTGGTGTCCCCTCGTTCATCATGTAACATTAAAAGAAATAATGTGTGGGAATGGGTTCGATACTGGAGAGGGAGGGGGGTTTAGTGAATGCGTTTGAGAAGGGTTTATGGGATACCTTTTTGAAACTGACCACGAGGTGTGGGTTTCCGATTCCCAAATCCATACAGCCATACGTGATACACATTTCTAGGTAAGCCCATGGATATCAGGGTGACATGTCGAGTTGAGTCGGTGAAGAGGAGGCTAGTGGATTAGTCGACTAGTTGGCCTATTAGTCGTAGACTAATCGACAAATCACAATTAGTTGAAACTTTTAACACTATATATATCTTCATTCACCAAATATAACTATATATATTTATATGATGAAATATCATCACCAAAACAAAATTATGTTTAAAGGTAGCACATAAACTCACATTATGAAGGGTACATAAGAAACAAACACCCTTCAATAAGGAATGTGGGAACCTTAAATTGGGACCGTGGGAGTATTGTTTTTGCATTAATCGTCACTTGCATCCTTTGTTAGGTATATGATGCTGCACGACAAGCGGCTATTCATGATACTATCATGAAGTTCCCTCAAACATATTCAACTGTTGTTGGAGAACGTGGACTTAAGGTGACACTTTATCTCCCTTTAAATCTTTCTTGAGTTTGTCGCGGAGAGTATGTGTAATTCAGGCATTTAACAAGATCCTAGATACATTGGTTGATCGGTTAGAACTCTTTTTTAGCCAATTTTCAATACCCAACTTTACTTTTTTCACACTTCATATAACTGTATCTTTTCATTCGAAAAGAAGTAAACAAAACAATTTGAATCTGAGTTGGAAAGAGATACAAATGCCCACTCGTTACTATCCTAATTACTTTTGGATGTGACTTTAAGTCTAGAAAGATCTGTGAATCAAGAAGATATGAAACATTTCACAAATTGTCCTTCTCAAGGAAGGCTGTCCATTGTCAGTAGCAGGATATCGACAAATCATTTGAAATGTTGTTTTTTTTTGAAAAAAATCTATCAGTCCAATCTAATCATTCATGAACTGATATCAGCTGTTATTTTCAAATGATTATATGAATTGTTTTATGTTCAACCTACTTTCATCTGGTTCTTAGTTAAGTGGTGGTGAGAAGCAGCGGCTGGCATTAGCTCGCGCATTCCTCAAATCACCTTCAATTATGTAAGTATAATCCCTTTATAATGGTATAATCTTCTTATGAGATTTTTGCTTCCTTTTCATATAATATTCCTTAAGCCTCTCACGACTATACTCTTAATTATGTAATGTGTCCTTGTATTTCTTCTGCCTTATCTCTAAATCATAAGCTTAAATAAGCAAACAAGGGAATGAATCTATTCTTGTATTTGCTTAGGCTTTGTGATGAAGCTACAAGTGCACTTGATAGCACCACTGAAGCAGAAATCTTGAGTGCCTTGAAGTCTTTGTCGAACAACCGTACTTCTATCTTTATTGCTCATCGGCTAACTACTGCAATGCAATGTGATGAGGTATCTATCACAAGACTTCCTTTTCATATCTTCTCCCACTGATTTCTTCATATTTTGCTACTGGCTCGGATTGAGTTATAAAAAACACGAAGCTATCTAAGGTTTTAAAAACCCCATCTCTCTCTTTCAAACCAAAAAATGGTTATAAAAAGCAGTTCCAGAATGAAATCACTCTTCCCCCTTTTTCCGTTGTTCAAAATAAAGTTCATACTTTCCTACTTTACCCTTATGAAAAGGAATATGTGGCTCACAACACTTTATTACTTTTCACCATTGCTCTTAAGTGACATATATTGTTGTCTCATGTACTACTGTAATAAACATACATATGCACTTTTGGTGTTTTGGGTTACTGCCAGATAATTGTTTTGGAGGATGGGAGAGTGGTGGAGCAGGGGTCACATGATGTTCTATTGTTGAAGCAAGGAGGAAGGTATGCCCAACTCTGGGCTCAACAACAGAACACTTTGGATTCTCTTGACGCCGCCATCAAACTGGACACATGATTATAATGCAAATTAACCATTTGGAATATATCTTTGAGAATTTTTTTACCCATTTGTCCATAGTGTACATGAAGAATAAAAAAACATTCTGTTGCTTCCAGAATCCCCAGATGAATTTAACAAACCAATGTTCCCAAAAAATGTCCGACAAGTTTCTTGGTCTTTTTTTTAATGTTACTTCATCCCTCCCAAAATGAAGTTTTTATTTATATTATTCATCGGGTCAACCTATATCTTACCTTTGAAATTGAAGGGTATTTCAAAATAAAAATGAAATTATAATATATGACCACCCCCCTACTTCCCCAGGGAGCAGTGACCACCGCCGGTGGTGGTGGTGGTGGCGGTGGCAGACAGCAGTGGTTGGAGGTTGCTGGTGGCAGATTTGCTGGGGTTGGTTCCTGTGAATGGTTTCTAGTTTCTTCCCTTCCGCCGCCTCTATTCTACCGAGAATTATAAGAATGTCAAAAATATAAAACTGTGAAAAAAATTAGAGTACTACTATTATTATTAAAAAATTACTCCAAATAGGATTAAAGCACACTTCTTCCGTCCATCAATTTTTTTGGGAAAAAAGATTAAATTAAGAGTAAAATATTAAAAATATGTCAAAATAGGACTTTCATGTTTTTATTTTTGAAATAAAAGATAAAATATATCTATATTATCAAACATGGTCATGTACATTACCAAAAGTAAAGTAATGTGCACATGTATAGTGCCACATTACCATAGTGCGAAGTTTTATTCAGAGAATAAAAACATTAAAGTCTTATTTTTGTACTGTTCTCTATGTTTTAGTCTTATTTATGGCGGTTTCTATAATTTCTTTCTCATTTTCTTCTTTGGTTTGTCCATAAATTTCTTTTTCATTTCTTATTTTGACAAACCTTTTAATGAATTTTTCGTTATATCCTTACCTTTTATCTAGATTATTCACTTTATTTTATCATAACAAGGACTACACAACTATAGAAAAGTCTTTTCACTTTTTTTATTTTTTCTTAACCTACTTGCCAAATCAAAACCGTTTCCTTTTGATCCTTTGGATATTTTGATAGAAAATGATACTCTCTTCGTCTATAAATGAATTACACTTTACATACAATGCAGTAAGATCTCAAGTTTTTAAAACTTTTTTATACGGAGTATAAAGAGAGGTATATAAATAAAATATAAATAAAACTTTTTAAGGGGGGGAAATGACACGCCCCAAAACATACCCTATAATTTTTAATGAATAAATATTTAATTAATCAAATTTGTTTTGATTATAAATAAATTTTTGTTGGGCTTTGGGTCGAAATGAAATATGTTCTGATATCCAATATCACAATCTGGATAAGTCTCATAGAGATATCCTATATGTTAACTTATTTTGTGATCTTAATTGGAAATCTGAGTATAGACCCAAATTAAGAATAAATGAAGAATTTGTTAATGATGTAAACATTGAAATGATTTATTGAAATAAATCATGAGAATAAGTAATATAAAATTTAATGTGAGAACTTTTTGAGTAAAGGTAAATTAAATCAATTTTGACTATGTCAAAGTCAAACCCCAAAAATATGATATCGGAAAAAGTATTACTCCCTCCGTCCTATAATGATCTTCCTGGTTCGCAAAACGAAGAAAAATCCCAAGTTTTTTCAATCTATTTTATTTAAATATTGGTATAGAAATAAAAAATAAAACATACATATTTAAAAACTACACCAAAAGTTCAACAAAACAAGTGGTGACAAGAATATTTTATTTTACTCCCTCCGTCCCAAATTATAATGCATGTTTACTATTCACAGGGTCAAACTTTATTCACTTTCTTTCTCTATTTTCATTAGCAATTTGATAAAATAAAATATTATTGTCACTACTAGTTTTGTAGATCTTTTGATGTAGTTTTTTAATATGTAATTTTTATTTTTTAATTCTATACCATTTGTCATATAAAATGGTTTGAAAATAATTTCAGTCAAACATCGTAAACCGAAACAGGCGTTATAAATTTGGGCGGGGGTAGTATCATATAGACCATGAAAAAACACAAATAAATATAAATTCCCGTGAAGTTGGAATAGTGCTCTGGGAAGATCATTATAGGACGGAGGGAAAACAAATAAATATGAAAAGTATATCATTGAATAGAATTCGACTGTCTGATCGCAACGGTGCAAATAGAATTCAATTCAGAGAAAGTTGGACTAAAAAGTGTACCCCCACTGGAACCAAATTAGTCACAATCAAGGGACGGCATGTATAATCGAACCAAATCGCAACCTAGTGCACTAAGCCGTCCGCGATCGTGAAATCCTTGGCAGCTTCTTCCTTTCATCTCGATATAAGGAGAATTCATTTCCTCCATTTTCTACACCATTCTTTCTGAAAATTGTTCCATAAGTGTTGGATTATTATGGAATCCATGGGTAGGGAAGAGGAAGAGAAGTGTGAAGAAGAAGAATGAAGTGTAGTGTGGATGTATTGTGCCTCCTCCCTCTCCCTCCCTCTTCCAAGAAGAGGGGTATAAATAGGGGAGTTAGGGTTAGGGTTTAAGCTCATATACAAAACAATGGGCCGGCCCAACAGACTAGGCCGCCCCTAAATAAGTAATTAATATACGACTAATGGGCTAGTCCGCGTAGGGTTGCGCTTCTCATTCCTTCGTCCGCGTAGGGTTTGAAATCCTCCATTGTCGCTGGCCTTTGGTGAAGTGTGGGAAAAGTTGGGAAATTCCGGCGGCTCCAACAGCCACTGTCCGAGGAAATGCTGATAGAATAGAAAAAGTTTTTTTTAAAAAAAATTGAGAGCACGCTTGATTTGTTCGACACTCTCAACGAGAGCATCATTGTTGGATTATGGAATCCATGGGTAGGGAAGAGGAATAGAAGTGTGAAGAAGAAGAATGCAGTGTAGTGTGGATGTATTGTGCCTCCTCCCTCTCCCTCCCCCCTTCCAAGAAGAGGGGTATAAATAAGGGAGTTAGGGTTAGGGTTTGAGCTCATATACAAAATAATTGGCCGGCCCAACAAACTGGCTACCCCTAAATAAGTAATTAATATACGACTAATGGGCTGGTCCGACATACTGGACCGCCCTAACTAATATTGTACAAAGACCGGATACCCCATGTTCAGGGTATCCATAAATAAGGATCTTGAGAGTGAGGAGAGTAGTCTGCTGTTGTTGGTTGCCGTCAAAGACACCAGAGCAAGCTATAGTGTTCGCCGGAAGTTTCACCAGAAAATTTACAAAACATTAATTAAGCTTCGAGGTAAGCCCGTAGATATATCTAGTGACTAGAATGTTCGTATAGATCGTTTCTACGTTCATAAACGGTCATTTGGTTGAGTTTTGTGTTTGATATACTTGAAGAACGAAGAATCATAAACTTGAAGAACGATATATCTAGTGACTAGAATGTTAGTATAGATCGTTTCTACGTTCATAAATGGTCATTTGGTTGAGTTTTGTGTTTGACATACTTGAAGAACGAAGAATCATAAACCATGAAATTGTTGTTTAAACTATGAACTAATGATACCAAAATCATCTATGAACCTTGGAGAATATTTCTATGTAGTTTAATTGAAGTTCGATGACTAAAAATGGTATTTTCGAAATTGGACCTGAATGAAGAAGAATATGAACAGTGATCGAAAAACACATTGAGTGGATCAATCCAAAGGGGTGGTCGATACCATGGGTGTTGTTTTCCCTAAATTGGATCGATCCCTCGAAATTTTGCTCCGAAAATACTTCCGAAAATGCTAGTTTTGAGCTCTAAAATTCTATTTTTGATACCAATTAATTATGAACAATATAAATATGATTTTACACCATGAAAATGAAGTTTTTAACAAATAAAATGTTATGTGATGCATGATGGTAAGCTAGGGTGTTAACACTTAAAACTAGGCCGCTATTTTCTATTGGATGTTATGTTGATTGATGATTATGATGAATGATTATTATGGATGATTATAAATGATGAACCTACTGAATAAAATGATTACTTATGATTGAACCATGAGTAAAATGAATACATTGATAATTATGAAATGATTTGTATTGTTAAGGGTATCTAGAAGAACTCTAAGATATACCCACATTCAGATAATTGATGTTAAGACTATCTTGAAGACCTCTAGAATAGATCTCAGATTAGAATGGATTTGTGAAAATATGAATATTCGGTGATTTGGATAAAAACGTAATAACAGAATTCGTAGATCAAACTGGAGGATCACTCGTTTGGAAATACTTCAACTCAATGATGATTAATCACTGTCCTTAAACTAATTATAGTTTAAGCGTCGGAAAATTGTTGTTTGCCTTAAATTAATTACAGTTTAAGCGTCGGAGAACTGTTGCCTTAAACTAATTAAAGTTTAAGCGTCCAAGAATTGTTTGCCTTAAACTAATTATAGTTTAAGCATCTGAGAATTGTTTGCCTTAAACTAATTATAGTTTAAGCGTCTAAGAATGAAATTATGATCTGTCTTAGACTAAGAATAGCTAAGAGTGTTGTTATGATATAGCCTTAAACTTAGAATAGCTAAGAGCGTTGTTATGATCTAGCCTTAGACTAAGAATAGTTAAGAGCGTTGTTATTATTTGGCCCTAGATTAAAAATAATTTAAGAGCACTGTCGAAATAATATCTCAAATGAATAAAATATGATGATATGAACTAAACAATATAAAAAGTGCGAATGTCTAGATTGAACATTGTGTGCATGATATCAAATGATTAGATTATGAATTTAAATTGAGTTTATATGAATGTTCGACGCATTAGATATGCTTACTCAGCTTCAATACTGAGCGTGTAGTATATTTTATTTGCTACGCGCAGGTAAACAGAAAGAAGAATGTGATCCTAGTGGCAGATGGGACAAGATTGTTGAGATGGATGTGACAAGTCTTGAAATGATTCATTATGATATGACAATTTTTAAATTCGCTTCCACAATATTATTGAATACGACGTACTCTATATGTTATGAAAAATATTATTGTGATAAATAAAAGTGTTTGAAAAGTTTTAAATTTTACGATTACCAAGTTAATATTTTGGTTCAAAAGGGGCTGCAGACTTGGACGGATTATGGTGTTACATGAATATTAGTGATTGATGATTATGATGATTAAATTTTAATAAAAATTCTGATTAAAGTAATGATTATAAATGATTAAATCATGACTAAAAATGG